TATCATGGAAGATTTTTACTCATCCATTAATTTTGAATGATAGTTTTGTTGGGTAGAGTATCCTAGGACTAAATTGTTTTCTTTCAGTGCTCAAAATACCTCACTTCATGTCTTTCTTGTTTTTAAGTTTTCTGTTGAGAAATCTGTTATTTTGATGGGCTTATCTTTATATGTTATTTGATTTTTATTTCTTACAGCCTTAAATATTCTTTTCTTGTTCTTTGTGCTAATTGTTTTAATGATAATATGCCATAAGAGGTTCTATTTTGGTCACGTCTGTTTGGTATCCTGGAGGCTTCTTGTACCTGAATGGGCAACTCTTTCTCGAGATTTGGGAGATTTCCTGCTATTATTTTTTGAATATATTACATATCCCTTTGGCTTGCACCTCTTCTCCTTCTTCAATACCCATGATTCACAGATTTGATGGAGTTGCTGTGTTCATTCATATACCTTTCATGGCTCTTGAGTCTTTTGTCTAAGAGTTCTTCTGTTTTTTCTTTAATATTTTGTCTTTGAGCCCTGAGATTCTATCTTCTGCTCATTCTAGTCTACTGGAATCACTTTCCCCTGTATTTTTTATTTGATTTAGGGAACTGTTTATTTCCAGGATTTCTGTTTGATTCTTTTTTCTGAGGTTTCCATATCTTTGTTAGGCTACTCCTTCATATCTTGTGCTGCCTTCTTTATTTCATATATATCTTTTTTATTATCTCCTTGTTTCACCATGAAGTTTGTTGAAGTCCTCTCTGAATTCATTTAGTTGTTTCCATGTCTTCTCAAGTTTTTTACTGTGAAGTCTTTATTTTGTTTGAGTTCATCCTGTACATTCTGTTTAACCATCTCTTGTATCTTCTCCATCAGTATCTCAATGAGCTCATTCATAATTTCCTTTTTGAGAAATTTTTTATGGATGTCATTGAGCTCATTGGTCATATTTATCATCATTCTGTTGAGGTCAGAAACTGGGTATTCATTTTCTTTATTTCCAACTAAATCCTCTATTGAATTGTTGGTCTTTCCTTGCCTTCTTTTTCCCATGCTTCTATTTTGTGCTGTGCTCCTATGTTATTGATTGACTAGTTGGGGGGTTTTAATCACCTGTTATCTTTTCCTTGACTTAATGCATTGTGACTGGTTTAATGGTTTTCTAGATTGATGTGTTATTTCTGTCCCTGTCCTGTAAGTGTAAATTAGTAATAACAAATGCACAAGTTCAATGTTACACCAGTTGTTTACATATTATATAGAGAACCCTTTGGTGATAATATCTATAAGCATCGGGAATTGGGGGAGGTAATGGTTTTTTGAATAGAGATAGATACCTGGGTAATTTGATACCTGGGAAAAGGGTGGGAGCAGAAAGGGGAGGATGGGTTGAGGGGGAAGAAGTATGGGAGATATAGGGTTTTAGGGCCCTTGTATGTGTTGGGGTGTAGTTCAGTTGTTGTTGTGGTGGGTGCTTGTGTCAGGGATTTCAGAGGGATAGGGGTTTGTATGGTTGGTACAGTAGACTAATCAGTAGGTGGTAAGTCTGTAGGGGAAGTCAAGGAGGGGAAGGTGAAGTCAGGGATACAGAAGGGATGAATAGTGACAGAAAAAATAGTTGAGGGGAGAACAATGGGTTGTAGCACAAGAGAAGGAGAGAAAATGAAGGGAGTAAGAATAGAGATTAGAAAACAGTAGTAATAAAATTAAAAATACTAAATGAAAAAGGGAAAGACCAAGAAAAAATTAAATAAGAATAAAAATGAAAAATGTACTATAGTAAAAACAACAACAACAAAAATGAACTCAGTTCAGTGAAAGTTCTGAACTTATTACTTTGGCAACAAATCAAGGTACTGGCACTTATGGCTGGGGTTTTTCAGTGTCCCTGTCTCTTCTCAAGTTTGGTGTTCTGGACTGTGTGAAGAAGGGCACTGCTTTCTTTTTGGATAGCTTAAGGGAGAGTCAGATGGGTTTTTTTTTTTTTAGTTCTGTTTTCTTTGGCCTGATGGGCCTTCTGTTGCTGTCAGGAGCTCTGAAGTGGTCTCACCAGATGGCTGGTTTGTGAGCAATAGTTGGTTCCTTCTAACCACAAGGCAGTTTGCAATTTAGGTCTGTGATTGCTCACTATCAGATTGTCCAAGGTGGTCAGATATGTTTCTGTTTTCACCGGGGGCAACTGAGTCACTCCACAGCCTCAACTCTGGTTGGTCAGCTCCTCTTCCAACAAGGTGGGAGTTTTGTGTACTTCCCATAGTCCCACAAGATTATTTCATCAACTTGCCATGTCCACCCCTCCCCCAGAAAGTTAGCTTCTCACTCCACCCTCCCTCTCAGTGTTTGTTCTTAGCCTCCTCCCCCCAGTCACAGACTTTGGATCCTCTCCCCACCCCAATCTCCAAGGATGGTTCAATGTTCTTCCCTGCCCTCACTGACAGTGGTAAATTATATTCAGTGTCATTCAGTTTTGTTGGGGGAGGGTGCAATCCGCCCACCAGCTGCATTGGATTATGTTCCCAGAAGGGCATGCGGTATGCAGCACTGACCTGTTTGGTTTGCATATTCACACAGGCAGGTTTGGATCCAGTTCAGTGGGGAGAAATGATGGGCAGCTTTTCCCAAGGGAGACACACACTAGGACTGGGTCCAAGCAGGATGTGCATGTATGTGTGTGTGTGTAGGCTGGCTTTCCACGGGTTTGAGGTCCAGTACATTGCAGAGTTAAGTTCTTTTTTTGAAATTTCTTTTATTCATATGTGCATACAATGTTTGGGTCATTTCTCCCTGCCCTTCCCCCCACCCTCTCCATCCCTACCCCCTCACTACCAGGCAGAAACTATTTTGCCCTTATCTCTAATTTTGTTGAAGAAAGAGTATAAGCAATAATAGGAAGGACCAAGGGTTTTTGCTAGTTGAGATAAGGATAGCTATACAGGGAGTTTACTTGCATTGCTTTCCTGTACATATGTGTTACATTCTAAATTAGTTCTTCCCTAACTAACCTTTTCTTTAGTTCCTGGTCCCCTTCTCCTATTGGCCTCTGTCACTTTGAAGTTTTGCAGAGTTAAATTCTATTTGATCTTCCATCTTCTTTTTTCAAAAAAAGAGGGGGTAGACAGACAGACAGAGGCTTTTCTTAAGAAAGGTACACCCTAGTGTCTGTGCTGCACCAGGATTTTCCCTGCTGTTAGATACAATTAAAAGCATCTAACAGACCTTGAATTTAAGGGTCAGACCTTGAATTTTACATGCCATCTATATGTTGGTGGTTATTTAGTTGACTAAAAAGAACCAGAATTATTCAAATGTAGCCACTATGAGTCCAAGTGGTTTCTGAAATCATGGAGCTCAGAAATTCTGATTCATCTTCTATCCACCATCTTGGATCTCCTTTCTGCTAATTTTTAAAAACTTAATGCATTGGTATATTTTTACAATATAAATTGAAAAACAATTTGTGTTCCTCCATCCCAGAAAGGGATATGGGTAAAAAATTGTGCAAATTTTCATAAGTGAATTTCAATAATCATAAATTGTGGAGCCTAATTATATACCTATATACTACTATTTTGACCTTTGTAAGGTCTCTAATGCAAAATAAAAATTTGAGAATGTTATGTAGTTTATTTGAAGTTTAACTGGAAAGAAGGATTTACAGTGTCAATATATAGGATTATACATGGGCTTAATCTGTGCTTTACTTTGTCTTGAAAAATGTATGAGGGAATAATGTTGGTGTCAGGATAGTAATTTAGTCATTAAAATCCAGGCTAACATCTTAAAAAGACTTTGTTTTATTTATTGAAACAAATTATAATTAGAAAAATACTCTACATGCTGCCTGATAAAAACAGAGATTAAAAGCATTTTGAAGGAATTATGTTTCTTTTGATATAATGATCCTAGAGTTCAATATCATTCATATTAATCACAAAGGTTAACAAATATATGTTTATCTAGGATCCACTTGCAACTTTTCCAAGAGGAGCTTTTATTTTTCTCTGGTGTGTGGAAAGATTCATTATTTGAAAATTTATCTATACTTTAACAGACTAGCCAGTTTCCTCTTTAAGAAGTAATTTGTATTTTGGTAGATTTCATATATTCAGAGTGATCCTTTCTTATTTAGCATAGAAGAACAATTTCTTGGGTCCTTACCTTAGGCTGTCTTCTATCCTGCTGGTCATTTATACACAATGCTATCTACCCTTTGATTTTCACAAGGAAGTTTATATTTGTCACTATTCATTTATGGAACCACTGATAATAAAGATGCACTCTTCACATAGATGAACTGTCATAATTGTAATGCAGCAGCATGTTTTCATACAGTCATTCAGATAGAAGACATAGGTTGAATTCTGTGGAGCATGAAATTAATCTATAGTATTTGTGATGCAAAATCTCAAAGGCAATAAAAAAGTATACATATGATAAAATACATCAATCTAAACATCAATACCCCATTTCCATCAGTACTAGAAAATTATGTAATTGCCTACACTGTTGATTATTGTCTATTCTCTGATTTGACATGAAGTTTGAAATTGTTAGTGCCTTAGTCCTTTATAGTGTGAAGTTTCCACTGTTACTAAGATTTGATGGTTGGATAAATACTTCTTTGCATATTATATATTATTAATTTTCCTATGCTGTCTGGGGATTTCAAAGGATAAAACTCACTTCACCTTCATTTCATGTATAGGAATTATTTCTTATTATTTCTATCATGTTGGGTATAGGGTGAAAAGCCTCATCATATTCTTTACATTTGGAATACTCTGCAGGATGAATTCTCTGATGTCAAATATGGTGTGTCCTGATTAAAGAGCTTTGAATGTTGTTTGATTTGTAGATTTCACTTCAGTATGAATTCTGTGACATTTTCTAAGTCTAATGTTCCTGGTCAATGATTTGTCACATTCCTACTATTTGTAAGGTTTCTTGATAGCATGAATTTTTTGATAGTTGCAAATGCTAGATTTGGAGTTCCATGATTTGCCAAATTTCTTTCATTTGTAGGGGTTTTGTGCAGTATGAATTCTCTGATGGTTTCTAAGTCTTGAGCATTGATTGAAAGATTTGTCACAGTCCTTACATTTGTATGGGTTCTCTCCAGTATGAACTTTCTGATGTTTCTTAAGGTTTGAGTTAGAATAGAAGACTTTGCTGTATTGTTTACATTTGTAAAGTTTCTCTTCAGTGCAAACAATTGTCTGGCAATAATCCATCACTCATAGTTACTCCCTTCACCAATATTCAGATGGATTATCTTTATCAACAAAACTATTTATGGCAAATTGCAATTAGTAATTACACAGGAAAATTTGACAATCACTATCCCAAAGACCCTACCATAAAATTTTTAACTTCTCAGGCCTGGATTCTACCTCACATAACAGCCACCAAACCACTATCCAATGCAATTATGGTATATACAGATGGCACCAGTAAAGGGAGGGCCAGATACATCATTTACTCCCCCTTGGGGTACATGTGCAGAACAAATAACCATTATGACCCCAGGAGCAACTGCACAACATACTGAAATCTTAGTGGTTCTTGAATCCCTGTGAGCTCTCCCTGGTCTGGTCAATATAGTTTCAGACTCCTAATATGTAGTTAAAGCCATTAACTCTTTTGAGACAGCTAGACTAAAAGGAGATCTGAATTCTACCATTTTTCAATTATTCACACAGGATTAATTGGTCATGCAGGCTCATACTTCTCTGTTTTTTATTGCTCACATCCATTCACATACAGGCCTGCCTGGCCCTATAGCTAAAGGCAACTAAAAGGTACACCAATTTATTTCCTTTATAAGCACTAAAGAGCCTCTCTCCACCTTCCAACAGGATCAACAGAGTCATACTATCTTACATCAGAATGTTTCTATGTTACACAGTTTCCATCTTTAACCCGTGAACAAACTAAGCAACTCATTAGGGTATGCCCTACCTGCAGCACCCTTCTACCTTTGGCACCTAATATGGGCATAAATCCTCATGGGCTAAAAGCTAATCATATTTGGCAAACTGACATTCCATGTATTGCTCAATTTGGAATATTAAAATATGTTCATGTAATGGTTGACACTTACTCAGGTGCCATATTTGCTATTGCACATACTGGAGAAACCACTAAACATGTAACTCAACACTTGCTTGCTGCATTTGCAACCCTAGGAATTCCTAAATCCATAAAAACAGATAATGGTCCTGCCTATACACTAAAAAATTTCTAGAATTCTGTGAATTATGGGACATTACACACAATACTGGGATTCCTTATAATCCTCAAGGCCAAGCCACTGTAGAATGCCAACATCAAACAATTAAAAATCAACTTCTTAAAATAAAAAAGGGGGAACACACCCCCAGGTCTCCACATACACAATTACATCTTATTAACTTTAAGTTTCTTCTCAATTGATAATCCAGGTGTTACACCCATGGAAAAACACTTCCATGCATGGAACACATGCCCCCCTGTGAACATTCTTTGGAAGAATTTAGAAATAAACACATGACAAGGACCTGACCCTTTACTAACTACAGGTCGTGGGTATGCTTGTGTCTTTCCAGAATATGAACAATGACCAAGATGGCTGCCTCTCCAATGCATCAAACCAGTCACGGTCATTGATGGGGCCCATGAAGAGACTTTGGCTGGACGATCCACCGTGACCCCATTGCTGCCCCCCCAAAAAGAAGGAGAAATCCCCACCAGTGACCTGGGGAGCCCTTAAAGTGTTGGTTCAGCAGGCCCAAAATTTGGGTGCTACTAATGTGCAGGATGTCACTCGATCCAAGTTACTTCTTGTCAGTCTGTTGGCTGTCCTTACTGTTAATTCCCAGGGGGCCAGAGTGGAGGAAAATTACACACAGTGATCATTTGTCCCTCATCCTCCAATCCTTTGTCCAAAGTTTGGGGAGAACCATTGCCTGTATTTTGGAATAATGCTTCTCATGCCTTAGGAGGTGGACCTTTGCATGATGGTTATAACATCTCTGAACAACTACAATTATCTCAGTATGATGGTTCCTTTGTAGGACACCCTATATGCTTCTGTCCCCCTAGGGGCATTAACATGACTTGCCCCATACCTTGTCTGCAGGCTCAATTTAATTATAGATATACTTGGGACAATTCTACTGGAGTAGGGCTCCTACTCTCCACAGTCATCCCTGTTAACAATTGTACTGATGCTAACTGTACTAGATTCCCTACATCACCTTCTTTTTCTCCCCCACTGACCTAAGGAACAGACATATGCACAAGGCCTTGGTTATGATCATGTGCCTTGGAGAACTTGCATAGGACTTTACCCTACACCTATACATCCTCGGGTGCCTTTTATGTTTTGGACCTTTCTTCCTACTTGGAATGAGCATAATCCCTCTGATTTGGTTTACCCTTAACAGTTCCCCAATATGAATGGGTGATCTAGACCCAAAATGTGGCATGGTCCCATCCTCTGCCACTCCATTATTCAATATCAATCTCAAGTGTACACCACCATGGATACACTCCTTCATTCTTTAAAACCTTATAATCTTTCCTCTTGCAATGTCACTGTTTTTCCTAATAATCTAACCTTCTGTTGGGATTCCTCTAATTCTAATTGTTCACTCAACTTTTCTGCTAGTTGTATCAGACCTCCTTATGCCTTTCTTGTTGGTAATCTAAACTTTTCTGTTACTGCAAGCCAGATATTAGGACATATACAATGTAAAAACTGTACCTTACACGCTTGCGTTGATTCCTCAGTTACCTCTCCTTTTAAAATCATGCACCATTCTCCCTTTGCTTGGTTATCAGTTAGCTTAAACTATACTTGGACTGATGACAATGGGTTGGCATTGCTACATCTAGCCCTAGAACAGATTCATCACCCCAAGAGATTTTTAGGTGCTCTCATCTTGGGAATTGTCTCTCTTATAATAGCTAGCATGACCACTGCTGTGGTGACATTGACCCAGCAAATTCAAACAGCTCATTATGTAAATACTCTCACCAAAAATGTTTCTAACATATTACATTCTCAAAATGACCTCAACAGGGACCTTCAACAAGGGATCCTCAAACTACAAGAAGAATTGACTACTCTCTGGAGTAGTCCAATACATAAAGCTCACCTGTGATTCCCAGTATTGTCATATCTGCATTACCACTGCTCAATGGAATGGCACTTACCAAAATTGGACTTTGATACAACATTATATTCATGGAGTTTGGACTCAAAATTCAACCGTACACATCCAGTGCCTAACTAAAGATATTCTTGACCTACAAGGTACCCATATCTCTACTATCTCCCTGGACTCCATGAAGAGTTGGCTAGACAAACTTAATCCTAGTCATTGGTTTAATTTTGGACTTAAGGGACTAATAAAGATAGGTGGAGTCATGCTTCTGGGTCTACTTAGTATTATATGGCTAAAAATAATCACTCAAAAAAGTAACCGCTGCAAAAAGAAAAATTTCTAAACACTTTTTCATAAAAAATAAAAAAGGGGAGATGTGGGAAAACCTCAGGACCCCTGCAGTCTCTTGGAAAAGAGCAGGGTCACTGTAGTTTTGTGCAACAGCCCCAAGAGAGATAAGAAGTCCTACAGGGCTTTCTGCGAACTTCCCATTCTCTCTTTCTGTGGAACAGGGAACACCCAGTTCTGCCTCTGGGCTTGTAGCCATAGTGACATGACAGCCAATCCTAGTACAGAGGCCAAGGGAAAACTGGGGACTTCCATGTACTCCTTCCTGCTTTTCTGCACTGCTAAAATACATCCTTCAGAAAATAAACTGTGCCACGGCTGCCTGGCACTTCCTTGTATTTGTGTTGTTATTTGCCGCATGTTCCTCCAAGACCAGCTGCAGCTGGTTTGAGGTATCTCTGCACATTTGTATGATTTTTCTCCTGTGGAGAATCTTGTGGATTCTCTGATAAACAAAAAGGTATGAGGCAAAAGCAAAAGGTTTAGCTTTAGTGTGGTTGCCTGATGTTTATTAAGGTCACAATGTTTACATTTGTATGGTTTTTCTCTAGTGTGGATTCTCTGATGCAGAACAAGTTGTGAGGAAGAAGCAAAAGATTTACCACTCTCTTTACATTTGTACGGTTTTTCTTCAGGGTGGATTCTCTGATGTACAACAAGTTGTGAGGAAGTAGCAAAAGGTTTACTACACTCTTCACATCTGTATGGTTTCTTTTCAGTGTGGATTCTCTGATGCAGAACAAGTCATGAGTAACAAGCAAAAAACTTACTATAGTCTTTACATTTGTAGGGTTTTTGTCCATTATTAATTTTCTGATTCTTAGTGAGATCTGAGGACCTATTGAAGGCTTCATCAAATTCTTTGCATTGGGGTGGCATAGATGTTGCAACATTGATGTATCTAATTTCACATCTTTTTGACTCTTCTGAGTAATACCTGCTTTCCCAGGATGCCCCTTGGAGAATATTCTTAGGATGAATAATTTCATGTTTTTCCAACATCAATTTTTGCAATTCATCTTGAATACTGTCTTCTGTAAAATCTCCTTGATTGTTGTGAGAAGACATACCTGAAAGAAATATAAATAACAACTCATCATGTTTTATGAATTCTGGGGAACATATTTAGCAAACTTATTTATGTAATTATTCTCATTTGAGAACATTAGCAAAATGATGTGAAAAAAAATGTCAGCAGCTCATTCCTCTACAAGTCCATAAACTTTAATGCAATGTACTGACCAAGGTGCTCTTATGAGAAGTTAAAAGTGAAAGTGATTATTCAGCTTTGCTGTTGTGGTCAAGCATCATGGTTGTCACATAGAGAATGGAAGGGCTGTTTCTTTCAGAACACTTATCTTCCCACTCCAAATGCAGTATCTGTCATATAGGAAAAACTCCTCACTCTTCATTTTCCTCAAAGAGACTGAGAATAGTGGAGCAGTTGGGTGATGAAGTCATAATGGAAAAGAACATGTGTCCATGCTTTTTGTGTATTGGGAGGATGCTCTGAAGTTCATTTCCTTACATTGTGAGTTGATGGGAAAACAGATGTAACATGGCTGATAGATTGATTCATCTCGTACCTAATAATAAAAATTCTTATGGCACCAGAAACATATTCTTAAGTATAAGTGAAACCAATTCCCTTCCACTAGAATGACATAGACACAGTTTCAGAAAAATCACACTGACATATGTATTGAGAGGCTCCAGAATTTCTACCTTATCTGATTGGTGTCACAGTTTTCTGAATTAAGACAAGTCATACATTATGACAGATTGCTCTTTGATTGTTCATTTATTTTTAAATCCATAGATTTAAAAGAGTGTGTGTTTACCATCTGAAACAAGATGTATTATAAAATATATACACTATGCAATGAAGAAATCTGTAATATTAATATATATACTACTTCAGAAAGTATTTTGGCAGTGAAATCATTTCAAATCAATTTTCTTAGGATTTTCCAAGAACACAATATATTAATAATTCTTGTTCAATGTATATCTTGCATACTCTATCTGTGAAGCTGAAATACTGCCCCTTCATTTGAAATTTTCCAAACCTCCTCAACCTTGGCAGCTAACATTTATTTGCTAAATCCATTGGATCATGATTTCGGTAGCCACATAAAAGAGACGTGGCATTTTTCTATGCATGAAAAACTTATTTCACTAATGAGCACATCTATTAGGCTCATCCATTTCAATTATGAAATGATATGCTTCTTTGTTATCTTGGCCGCAGTGGTGTTTGAACCCAAGATTTCACAGTTTTGAGGCAAGTGCTCTATCAGTAGAGCCATACCTCCAGTCCCAGTGAATTCTTTTTAATGACTAAATATCACTTCATTATATAAATATACATAGATGTTTGTATATATCCCATTTATATACACATATCACAGTTTCCTATCCATTTACCCTTCATGGACTCTTATGTTGATTCTTATATTGGCTATAGTGAGTAGTGCCTTTGTGAAGGTGGTTAAGAATAAAGCTTTTCAAAAGTTTTTAATTCTTCTGTATAAATACCAAGAGTAATTGGACTTACAGAGTCTTTGTAGTTCAGTTTTAATTTTTGCAGAATTTCTCTACTATTTCACATAACTGATGAAATATTCCACAAATAAATTTTTAAAATGACAAAATCCTAACAACATTTGCCAAAGAATACAATGATTTGGGAAATATGTCCCAATCAAAGTAAGCAAATAACTCCAGAAATCAGCTCTAAAAATCCAGATTCAACAATTACCTGCATTATTCAAACAAATCATCTCAAAGTCCCTCACTAGGATAAGCAAGAGCAAAGAATAATAAATAAGCCAGGAAATTAAGAATATCAGCAAGAAGATAAAAACACTCAGAAGGCACAGGGGTCAGGGAAATGATGAATACAACAAGAAATAAGGCAATTTTGATGATTCCTCACCAGATAGGATTCCATATTGATCAAGAAAAGAAAAAGTCAGCATAACCAAAATAGGTGTAACAATCAAATGAGTGTCAAGCATAATTGTATTGGCTCTAGAAATATGGTCAAATTGTATTTAATTTCTGCTTATTCTCCCAAGATGTAAAATCATGAATATATTCATCTAAATCACCATATATGCAAAATACAAAATTGTATTTTCGTACTGCAAAGGTACCAATGCTAATAAAAGTAACACATAAAGCTGGAATTCCAAAACAAGAATAAGAAAAAATTTAGCCTCTAACTTCCTGAATATTAACATTTATTGTATTATGACAGGTATCTTACATAACAATTTTAAATATTGCCTCTCCCCAGGAGACATAGGAATTTGAAACAACAGAATGCTTTCTGTGTCAAGAAAAAGTGTACAGAATACTTCATCATTCTGATGAGGAAAATATTGATAAACAAGTATTTAAATGTTAATAGATCAACTTTTTGTTTTTTTAAAGATACTGTACTCAGTGTTTATTACTAAATGTAGACAGGGCCAATGCTAACCAATACACAGGTATGCCAAACTTCTTATGAGTTCACTAGACCCACAACTCAAAGTAATAGATGGAGGTGATGAAAAACATGATGAGGGCATATTTAATGCCTACAGGTGAAAAATAGAACACAAGAAATAAACTGAAAGAGATACCTTTTATCAAAGGTGAAATAGTTTCAGCAATAAACTTAATAATGCTTTACATTATAATCCCAAAGTAAGTATCTATGAATCCATAATGATGTAAGTAATTGATTAAGTACATAACTAGGGAAGAAGAGACAAATATTCTTCCAGAGGAATTCCTGTCAGCAAATGTAGAAAGCATAAAGGAAATAGAAACTTCACCCTGAGGCTAACAGGGTGGATCAATGGAAGAGCACCTGCCTTGCAAGCACAGGGCCTGAGGTCAATCCCTAACAACCCCAAAAAGCTGCCTAGAAATATCACACAGCACACTGCAGTAAAAATGGCTTCAGGCAAGACTCACTGATGTGCTTGCTTATTTTGAAACTCATTAAATTGTTTACTTTGCATATGTGCAGTTTATTATATGTCAGTTACACCACAATATAGTTGGAAATATATCAATGTTATTGCATTTCACTATCTAATGAAAAATTAACTCAAATAGAGAATGGTGACTATGATAAGAACTATTCTTTTTTTAAAAAATAAAAGTATTGGTACAAAGTGATTTCATTATAGCATTAACAAGCATCATATAGTGTACTTTGGTCAAATTCAGCTGATCTACATTATGCTCTTTAAACCACCTTCCCTCTTCCACCTCCATTTAAACCACCTTCCCTCTTCCACCTCCATTTAAGCCACCTTCCCTCTTCTACCTCCATTGTGAAGTCTTATAAGGTAAAGAAAATTCCTTACTATGGGGTTGGTTTATTAAAATATTTTTAGCTTATACATCTTCTGAAAGGTGCCTCAAAGGTCTAGTCCAGCAAATGTTTTAGGACTGGGAGTTCAGCAGGTTCGCACATATGAAAGGAAGGATGTTGGCTCTTTCTGTGAGTGTGCTAGAAGAACACTGGAGGGTAGGAGGAGCCTTAAAAGTTTTAGGAACACAATAAGCAAAGAGAAGTAGAAGACCAGCTGTGAAAACAAGTGAAATGAACCCATGCTGCTCAAAAGCCATTTCTAGGGTAGCTGCAGTTTACCAACCATGTTTTCCAGTCATCTAGTCCTCCGATCTGAGTCCCCTGCTTCATCCATTCCAACCTACCTGGATGTTTTTCTGCTGTTCTCAGTCTTTTCACTTTCCAGGGCTCCTTGCTTTGCTACAGACAGGTTACTAAGTCTGGTTTAGAGATAGTGGGGCCTGCATATTAGAAAAAGGAACATGAGACTTGGGGTTGCATCTGTAGGAAATACTTGGATTGCTAACCCACTATTTTGCTAAGTGGAAAAGAAAGAACATAAAAGGAAACTACATTAGTGTATTTTCCAAGGGTATTATTTCCTGCCAGTTTCTTCAGAATACTTAGGAAGCATTTTCAATTTTTAAAATCATTCCAAAGAAGCTACTACTGCATCAAAACCAAAGGTTGGGAATGGGGCTTTAGGATGCAGCCCCAATATTACATTCTAGTGCATTTCTGAAAATGCCACAGATGGAGATGAAGCACGCACATCAACTCCAAAAATGGGAAAGTTAAAGTTTAGATAAAATGTCATGATTATTTGCTTTTCAATACCAACAAACATGAAGAATTTTTGAAGTTTGGTATTTGAGATTCATTCACAAAAAACAGTCACTCTACAAAACAGATGGGAAAGGAAAAGTGAGGATAGGCTAGGAATTTTGACACAGATATTCTTACCCACAAAGACCAGGTTGTTGTAATTCTCCACATCACGTCCCTGTACAGAGCTCTCTGAGAAGGGTCCAGACATTCCCATTCCTCCTTGGAGAACTCGATGGCCACATCCTTGAATGTCAATATACCCTGAAATACAAATATTGGTTTGACATAACAGGAGTATCTGTAAAATAAATGCACAAAAATACAAAGAATAGACTATTTTTAATAGAATATTTTGTCACACATGCAGTGTATACCAGAGCTGGGTTTTATGCCAGTTTATCTGAACTACAATTTATCTAACAATTAAACAAAGGCCAGCATAAATAGATACCCAATTTCAGAGGTAGTTTCCTTACTGAGGAGCATAGTGAAAATGAAAATCTACCAACAACAATTGGTCTAATAATGCATATTGTATGTACACATATGAATATATGAGTGGGTAGATGCTGGGAGGAGAACACAGAATGGCTCATCCATTTTGAGAATACTGAAATGTGGTGGGTATGGCTTCATGGGCAGTGAGTTCCTCCCATCCTTTCTTGGAGAAGTAGGGGAATGAGGGATTTTTCTTTTATGTCTATATCATTTTTACTGCTTTATAACTAGGGAATCAAAATTAATGAGCAAGACTGACCAGAGCTCCAAGCCTCATAAACCTACTCAAGAAAATAACCAGGAGAAATAAGATGATAGTAGTTGGGCCCTGGGCTTCCCCTAAAACAGGAGGAAGAAACAATGGGCAGTTGAGGCTTGGAAACATTTTTAGAACCAAATGGTCTGCACTGACACTAGAGAATGGGTTTAAATGCATTAGCGAATTTATAACTAGTTTTTATTCCTTATACAAGCCTACTTGGTTTTTGTCATGTTCAGTTGACTGATTGTCCTATTCAGTAACTCTGAGGAAGAGCAAGTTTCTCTGTTCGGAATAGTGTGCAGCCTGGTGATTTTCAATACACAATATCTGGTTCACTGACATCATTTTTAGACAAAATCTCTCTGTGTTTTTCAGATGGTCTCTGGGGAAGACAATATCTACAATTTTCTGGAAACTAATGTACCATAAGTCTGAGTTCTTTTACCTGCATTGAATCCCAGGCCAAATACATGCTTTTATATTACATTTTAAATAACTTGAGTTTGCTGCTGACTCACTGACCATCAATTGCTGCCCCCACAGTTAAAATTTAAAACTCTAAAGCCATTGGGAATAATGTAAGGAGCCAAAGTTGCCTAATGCATTAGTAGACTCTCCCCATTCCTTCTAGCTCTTAGGCTCATGTATGTGGAATGAGAAGATGAAGCCAATGAACACAAAGCTGCTGCAGACTTGAAAGCCACTTGTCAAAACTTACATAGAGAAGGAACAAAGACAAAGGTGAGGGACCTGTATGATGAGAATAGTTCTCTGGAAGCTGAGTAAAAGATGTCTACTCTCTATTCATTTTGTGCAGCCATCTCCACACACAGACAATAAAACACAGTGACAAGTGCTTCACACCTTCCAAGACCCAATCATCAGAGGTCATTTCCTGCTGAGAAATATTAAAGGCAGAAAAGGAGAAAGACAGTCATGCATATGTAGTTAGGGATGAAATTGGAGGATGAGAAACTGACAATGGGAAATGCCAGCATCAAAAGAAAATTTCCCAAAATAAAGAAACTAATGTGATAGACTGAGAAGAGTTCATGTCCAAGGTTATGATATGTTCAAATAAGGTTTTCAGCTAAAAATGTCAGCCATATAAAAATTTTAAAATTTCATGTTATCCTTTAAAAATGAGAGGAGCAAAAATGAAAGGAAAATGAAGTGATTTAAATTTCCACTTAAGAGTGGAGAAATGGAATTTATTTGCCAAAGAATGTTTAGTGACTGTGAATTAGAATTTATTGATAATGTCATGTAATCATTGGGAACCATTGAATTTCATGAAAGCATTCTTTAATTTCATGAAGTTGTAATGTGGATAACATTTTATATTATTTAGAATATAAATTGTGTTTTAGTTCCTACATGAATAGTATGCAATGAACAAGACAGGATTTAAGGCATAGATTCTGCATCCAGGAGACATGGCATTTTTGACAATTGTATTGCATGTACAAAAGAGAAATGGCATTTTCTTTGATAACATATAATGTTTATCTTGCCTAAACAAATCACCATCTGTGTTCATTTGGAACAGGAATATACTCTTCATGCACTGAATGATTAACCGTCTGAGTAGTGGTGCTCAGTGAGAGACCATTGAGGGATAATTGGATCATGAAGGATCTAACATAGAGTTCATAGTTTAATAGGTTGTTCTGAGGTGGATCCTATTTGGAGTATATCCATTGAGGGTTATAGTTTGTCCTTTTTTATGCCATAATTGTTAGCTCCAACATGTGAGCATCCTCTGCCTTATGATCTTGGAGGTATGATGTTCTGTCTCATCCAAGGTACAAAAGTAGAACGAAATGGTCATAGATTGAAATACCTGAAACCATGAGCCCAAATAAATCTCTCCTCCTTTAAATCTTCCCTTCATTTCTCAGGTATTTTTTTCACAGTTAGAGAAAAATGATGACCACACCAACTCAGAATTTATCTGATTTGTTCGACCATGTCCTTGTTACTTTGAATAGGTACACAGGCACACACGAAAATACAGAAACCTACATTGCTTTGTACCAAACTTACTTCTAAATTTCTTAAACTTAACCTATTTGTATATTTTTGCAACAGAAATTGAAAAAACAATCTGTGCTACTCCATCCCAGAAAGAAGCATATGCAAAAATATTTGGAAAACCTTCATAAATGAAATTCAAAAATCATACATTATGGAGGCTAATTACATATACCCAGAAAGTTCTATTTTGACTTTTATAAGGTCTACATAATTCAAAATAAAATTTTTGAGAATAATGTGCAAGGTATTTCAAGTTTAACTGGAATAAGAGGACTCACAGTGTCACTGTTTAGGATTATGCATGGGCGTAATCTGTGCTCCCCTCAGCCTTGAACAAAGTTTGAGAGACTAATGTTGACATCAGGGTTATAATTTATTTAGTCATTGAAATTCAGGTTTGTGTATCTTAAAAAGACTTTGTTTGACTAATTGAAACAAACTAACTACACACAGACTAGATAAGCTACTTGAATATACTTTGCCTGATAAAAATAGAAATTGAAAGCATTCCAAATGTTTTATGGTTCTTTTGACACTATGATCCTAGAGTTCAATATTATTGATATTAAACACAAAGGCTAACAAATGATATCTGTTGATTTGGATCCATTTGCAATCTTTCCAAGAGGAGTTTTCCTTTTTCATTGATGTCAGGAAAGATTTACTGCTCCTACTTGAAAATTTATCTGTACTTTAGTACAGATAAAGAGGAACAAGCCAGTTTCTTTGGCTTACATAAATGGTAGGACAACATGAATGCAAAGCTGCTCTAGACTCCAGGTCTTTTATCAAGACTTACAGAGAGAAGGAACAATGACAAAGTTGAGGGTCCTGTAGGATATGAATAGTCCTCAAGCACAAGCAACTGAGTAGACAATGTCACCTCTCTATTCATTTTGTACAGCCACCTCTAGGCACAGACAGGAAAGCATAGTGACAAGAGCTCCATATCATACAGGACACCATAAGAAGCCATTTCCTGCTGACATAAAGGAAAGGTAGAATAGGAGAATGGCTGTGAGATATATGTAGTTAAGGATAAAATTGAATGGTGAGAAACTGTGATTGTGAAATGCCACCATCAAAAGTAAATTCCTAAATTCAGGGAGTTAATGTGGCAGACTGAGATAAGTTCATTATCAAAGGTCTGCAATGTTCACTTGCTTGTTTTAAACTGAAAATGTAAACCCTATAAAATCAATAATTTTCATGACATTCTTTAAATATGAGTTGATCAAAATAAAGAAAAATGAATAATGTGATTTTCATCTCCATACAAATGTGGAGAAAATAGAGTTTATTAGTCAAAGTATGTTTGGTGACCATTAATTAGAATTTATAGACAACATTGTTGATAACCATTAAATTTTATGAAGAAATTCTTTAATTCTATGAGGTTGTCATGTAGATAAAATTTTATTTTAGTTCTTATTAAATAGTGTGCAATAAACAAGAGTGGATTTAATGCATAGACTTTGTATTCAGGAGACATTAAATTTTTGACAATTGTATTCTATGTGCAGAAGACAAAGTACATTTTTTGATAACTTATGTTTTTCTTACCTAATAAACCTCCATCTGTATTCATTTGGATCTGGAATGTCTCCAGAGACTGTGTTGAATGCTTAACCCACAGAGAAGTTGTGTTCAGGAGTGAGACCATTGAGGGATGATTGGATCATGAGGCTCTGATGTTGAGTTCATATCTTCATTGGTTATTCTAAGTTGGATCCTGTTTGGAGTAAATTGGTCACAGGAGGCATGACTGGGAAGGGTACAGTGTGTCCTTTTTTTCTATCTCATACTTTTTGGCAGAAAAAATGTGAGCAATCTCTGTTGAATGCCCCTGACGGTATGATGTTCTGCGTCATCTGTGCAACCAAGTGATCATGGACTGAAATATCTGAAACCATGAGCCAAAGTACATCTTTCTTCCTTTAAGTCTTCCTTTGTTTCTCAAGTATTTTCTCATAGTTAGAGAAAGTTGTAGACCACATCATGTCTGAACTTACTGATTTGGTCCACTAGGTCCTTGTTATTTTGAATAGGTTCACACACTCAGTCTCTCTCTCTCTCTCTCTCTCTCTCTCTCTCTCTCACTCTCTCTCTCTCTCTCACTCACACACATACTTATACTAATTCACATACTTTGTAGCATACTTACTCCTAAGTTTTTTAAACCCAATATATTTGTATATATTTTCACAACATAAAGTGCAAAAAACAATCTGTGTTTCTCCAGCCCCGAAGGGAACATGGGCAAAAAATTGGGTAAACTTACATAAGCAAAACTCAATAATCAAAAATTATGGCATCTAAATATATACCCACGTAATTTTATTGTAACATTTGTAATGTCCCCATAATTCAAATTTAAAAAAATTTGAGAATAATATTATGCAACATATTTGACGTTTAACTGGAAAAAAGGGTTCACAGTGTAAATATATAGGATTATACATGGGCTTAATAGGTTTTTCCCTTCTTCTTGAAAAAATTTGAGAGATTAATTGTGTCAAGGTAAAAATTGAGTCATTGAAGCTCAGGCTTAGTGTCTTAAAAGATTTTGTTTTATTAATTGAAACAAATTATAATTATATATAGACTAGACATGCTTTAAAAAATATCCTACATGGTGTCTAATAAAAATACAGATTAATAGCATTCCTGAAGCATTATGTTTCTTCTGATACAATGATCCTACAGTTCAGCCTTATTTGTTTTGATCACAAAGGCTAACAAATGACATATGTTGATTTGGGATCCTTTTGCACCTTTCCAAAAGGAGTTTTCCTTTTTCTCTGATGTATGGAAAGATTTATTGCTTCTATTTGAAAAATTTATCTGTACTTTAATGAACTGGCCAGTTTCTTCTTTAAGGATTAATAACTACTTTGACTGAATTAATATATTTAGAATTATCCTTTCTTATTTAATATGGAAGAACAATTCCCTAGACCCCTCCTGAGAGTGACTGCTATCCTGCTGATAATTTAAGCACAAAGCAAGTTACCTTTTGTTTTTCTCAATGGATTTTACATTCGACCCTAGTCATTTATATAACCACTGATAATAAAAATGACTTCCTCACATAGTTTAGACTATCCTAACTCTAATGCACAATACGTTTTCATACAGTCAGTCAGAAAAACACATAAGTTGAATTTATTGGCACATGAAGTTAATATACAGCATTTTCTAGCACAATCTCAAATGATTGCAATGTGAATACATACACAGGATAAACATATTTACACAGACATTAATATCCCTGGTGCTTTGACTGTAGATTGTTCTCTCTTCTGGTTTGTCATGAGATTTGAAATCATTTGTGTCTTAGTTCATTTTATTTTGAAGTTTCCACTGTTACTTAGATTTTGTGCTTGAATAAGCACTTCTCTGCATATATGAAATTTTATAGTATTAATTTTTTATACTATTGGGGATTAGAAAGGATAAAACTTCACCTTCATTTCATGTTTAGGACTCTTTCTTATTATTTCACTGATGTTGGGTATGTAGTGAAAAATCTTATCATACTCTTTACATTTGTTGTGTTTCTCCACAGAATGAACTCTCTGATGTCTAATATGATGTGTCCTGATTAAAGAGCTTTACATATTTTTGATTGATTTGTATGACTAAATTTCTCAATCATATGTTTTATTTGTAGGTTTTTCTTCATTGTGAATTCTGTGATGTTCCCTAAGACTTATGAACTTGGTGAATAATTTTTCACATTCCCGTCAATGGTAAGGATGCTTGACATTGTGAATTTTGTGATGGTTGTAAATATTAGAGCAGAAGTTAAATGATTTTCCAAATTCCTTAAAATTTGTGGGGGTTCTCACTAGTTTGGATTCTCCAATGGATTCTGAATATTTGGCAATAATTGAAGGATTTGTCACAATCCTAAAATTTGTATAGTTTCTCTCCAGTATGAAATTTCTGATGTTTATTAAGGTTTGAATTAGAATAGAAGGTTTTGTCTCATTGTTTATATTTGTAAGGTTTCTCTCCAGTGTGGATTCTCTCATGCAGAATAAGTTTGATGAATAAGGAAAAGATTTACAACACTCTTTACAGTTTTAGGGTTTCTCTCCTGTGTGTATTCTATTGTGCTGAGCAAGGTGTGAGGAAGAAGCAAAAGATTTACTGCAATGTTTACAATTGTATGGTTTTTCTCCAGTGTGGATTGTCTGATGAACAACAAGTTGTGAGGAAAAGGCAAAAGATTTAGGATGCCCTCTACATTTGTACGGTTTTTCTTGAGTATGAATTCTCTGGCTCTCAGTGAGGTCTGAGGGAGTATTGAAGGCTTTATCAAACTCTTTACATTGGTATGGCATAAATGTTGAAACCTCGATATTTCTAGCTACACATCTTTTCTGTCCTTCATTATAATGCCTCGTTTTGCAGGCATTCCCTCGGAGAAAATTCTGAGGATGAATCTTTCATGCTCTTCCAATATCAGTTTTTCAAATAAGTCTTGCACATTGTCATCTGTAAAATCTGCATGGGTTTTTTGATAAGACATTTCTGAAATAAATATAAAAAGAATTCATGATAAAACAATGCAGGAGTGATCCAAGATGGTGACTAGAAGGCAGAAGCAGACAGTGTGAGCTCCATAAATCAAAAATTTTGCAGAGACTCTAGAGCCACACTTGGCAGAAAAAACCATGAAGAAAAATCAAAACTCTGACAACCTGAACTCCCAGCCCATACAAAGCTTCACCATGCCATGTTACACTGAGAAAACAGGAGGGATGCTGCACTGCCAGACATTGGCTCCAAACCTGCTTGGGAGATGCAGACCAACAGGTGAACAAATAAGTGGCACCTGGTATTCCCACAGTTACCCCTGGGATAAACCAGCATAGCCTCCTGAGCAGACTGACCCCCAGCCTGCAAAAAAAAAACCTGAATAATAAACAAGGAACTGAAAACAACATGCAGCAGAGGGTGCAGGGTGCTCTCAGTGCACTAGAGAAGGGAGGAGGAGCAAGGAGCTGATGTCCACATGAACGTTCAGTAAACAAAGACTGGAAATGCAGAAGGGCTGACAGTGGGTAGTTGATAAGCTGCTGCCTGTAAAAAGGCAGATAGCAGTCCACAAAACTCATCTCCTGAGCCAGTGAGCAACATCCAAAGTCAAACAAGGTTGCAAAGTTGAAAAACAGTCAGTAAACCAGCATAACATGCTGATAGCAGAGAGCAGGCTGACAGATCTCTGACCTTGCCCCAGAGTAAAGGTGAGAGGAAAAGAAACAAGCCCCCAGTAAACAAGCACAGCAAAAAATCCAACTCCAAAGCATGATGGCTAGGGGCCACAGAGCTGATCTCTGGAACCTGAGGACAAGCTACACCTTACTGAGGCAGGAGCTGACTGAGCAGCTGCCACTAAAAGACAGGAAAAAAAAAAACTGGTGAGTTTCCCCAACCACCTGGTGAGACTAAGACAGAGCTTCTGCTTAAATACCAACACCAGGACTGGATGCTGAAAGAGTAATAGCAGAACTACTAACACTGAAATTCTATTTTGCCTGAACCTGGAATTTTTTTTATGTGTTTTTTGGCTTGTTCCCTGTTTGTTTGTCCACACAACTCTCTGTTGATTTCTTTGACTCGCTCTCATTTTTGGTTTTTTCTTTCTTTCTTTGTTTTATTAGTTTTATGATTGTAGGTTAGCTAATACTAAACTACACACAGACCAGGGACAGAAACAGCACCAAGTGGAGTGATAGGAAGACAAAAAAAGAATGGAAGCACTATCCCCCCATAGTAAATTAATACAGGATTCAGAGGGAAATGAAGAAAATGGATACACAGTTCCAGACTCCAACAAAACAATGATAAACTATGCCAAGTAACTGAATGAAGCCCACAAAAACACTCTGAAAGAAGAAATCCACAGTAATTACTGAGAATTTCATGGAGATGTTACTAGACATGGTCAACCAAAATGTATAGGAGGCATGCAAGAAATTCCAAGACAATAAAACTAAAAAGTATGAGAAGACACAAAAACAAATACACAAACTCATAGGACCCTTAAATAAATACCAAAGTGAAACAGAGAACACCATAAATAGAGAGCCAAATAAATTAAGGATGAAAATTGACAATATTAAAAAGGAAGTTACCCATGATATGGAAAACCTCAGGAAAAAGAATGAAACAGACATAGGAAACACAGCGGAAGGCCACTCCAGCAGATGAGAAAAAGCAGAAGACAGAATCTCAGAACTTGGAGAAAAAATGGGTTAAAGGAAAAACTGAAGAGCTATTAGTCAAACAACTCAAGACCTGTGAAAGGAATATGCAAGAACCCATCGCTGCCATCAAAAGACCAAACCTCAGAAGCATGGACATTGAAGAAGGAGAAGAGGTGCAAGCAAAAGGAATTTGTAATATATTCAACAAAATAATAACAGAAAATTTCCCAAATCAAGAGAAAACTATGCCCATTCAGGTACAGGAAGCCTTCAGGACACCAAACAGACTTGACCAAATTAGAACTACCCAACAACATATTAGCATTAAAACCACAAGCACAAAGAATAGAAAAAGAATATTGATGGCTGTAAAAAGAAAAAAACAAATAACATATGAAGGCAAACCCATCAAAATTACAGCAGATTTCTCAATGGAAATCTTACATCAAGTAGAGCATGGAGTGAAGTATTCAGAGTACTGAATGAAAATAACTTCAACTCTAGGATACTCTACATAGCAAAGCTATCATTCAAACAAGATGGAGCAATAAAAGTCTTCCATGGTAAACAGAAAATAAAACAATATATGACCACCAAGTCACCACTACAAAAGAGTCTTCAAAGAATCCTTCACACAGAAAACAAAAGCAAACAAAACCATGAAAAGACAGGCAGTACCAAACCACAGGAGAAGAAAAGGCAAGAAAGTAGAGAGTAACAGTGATTCAGCTACACATAATCAAACCCTTAAACAAGAAAGACAGCTAAATGACAAGAGTCACCACATACCTATCAGTACTGACACTGAATATTAATGGACTTAATCCCCGATAAAAAGACATGGTTTGGCAAACTGGATTAAAAAGGAAAATCCAACAAACTGTTGCTTTCAGAAGACCCATCTCATAGACAGAAACAAGCACTGGCTTTGGGTGAAAGGCTGGAAGAATATTTACCAAGCCAATGGCCCCTGAAAACAAGCAGGAGTAGCAATACTTATCTAGGACAAAGTAGACTTCAAACCTATATTGATCAAATGAGATAGAGAAGGACATCCCAGACTAATAAAAGGGGAAACACACCAAAAGGAAATAACAATTATTAGCCTATATCACCCAATGTCAATGCACCCAATATCATCAAACATACTCTGAAGGACCTAAAAACATATACAAACTCCAACACATTGGTAGTGGGAGACTTTAATACCCCCATATCACAAATAGATAAGTCATCCAAACAAAAAGTCAATAAAGAAATCCTAGCTCTAAATCACACCATAGATCAAATGGACCTAGCTGATGCCTACAGGATATTTCATCTAAATTCTGCACAATATATATTCTTCTTGGCAGCCCATAGAACCTTCTCTAAAATTGATTATATCTTATGGCACAAAGCAAGCCTCAGCAAATGTAAGAAAATAGATATAATACCATGCATTCTAAATGATCACAATGCATCAAAACTAGAACTCAACAAAAAACAATAGTAAAAAACATGCAAACAGTTGGAAACTGAACATGTTGCTCAATGATCAATGGGTCATTGATGAAATAAAAGAGGAAATTAAAGGTTCCTGGAAATTAATTAAAATAAAAACACGACCTACTGGAAAGTATTGGACAGAGCAAAGGTACTCCTAAAAGGAAAGTTTATAAACATGAGTGCATATATTAAAAGGACAGAAAGCTAGCAAATCAATGACCTAATACTACATCTCAAACTTGTAGAAAAACAGAACAAGCAAATCCTAAAACAAACAGCAGAGAAATAATAAAAATAAGAGCCAAAATCTATGAAATAGAAACAAACAAACAAACAAACAAAAACCATAAAAAGAATGAATGAAACAAAGTTAGTTCTTTGAAAAAATAAACATGATTGACAGACCCTGGAAAATCTGACTAAAATGAGGAGAGAAAAAACCCATGTCAGTAAAATCAGAATTGCAGATCGGGAGATAACAACAAACACCACAGAAAACCAGGAAATCATCAGAGATTACTTTGAGAACCTATATTCTAATAAATTTGAAAATCTTGAAGAAATGGACAGATTTCTAGAGACTTATGGCCATCCAAAATTGAACCAACAGGACATTAATCACCTGAATCAATCTATAGCACAAAATAAAATTAAAGTAGCAATAAAGAGCCCCCCAAAAAGAAAAGTCAAAGAGCTGAAGGATTCTCTGCTGAATTCTATCAGACATTTATTATTTATTTATTTATTTATATTTTATTCATATGTGCATACAATGTTTGGGTCATTTCTCCCTCCTCCCCCTCCCCTTACCTCTCACTATCCAGCAGAAACTATTCTGCCCTTATCTCTAATTTTGTTGAGAAGAGTATAAGCAATAATAGGAAGGAACAAGGTTTTTGCTAGTTGAGATAAGGATAGCTATACAGGGAGTTGACACATTGATTTCCTGTGTGTGTGTTACCTTCTAGTTAATTCTTTTTGACTAACCTTTTCTCTAGTTCCTGGTCCCCTTTTCCTATTGGCCTCAGTTGCTTTAAGGTATCTGCTTTAGTTTCTCTGCGTTAAGGAACAAATGCTAGCTAGTTTTTTAGGTGTCTTACCTATCCTCACCCCTCCCTTGTGTGCTCTCGCTTTTATCATGTGCTCAAGTCCAATCCCCTTGTTGTGTTTGCCCTTGATCTAATGTCCACACATGAGGGAGAACATACGATTTTTGGTCTTTTGGGCCAGGCTAACCTCACTCAGAATGATGTTCTCCAATTCCATCCATTTACCAGCGAATGATAACATTTCGTTCTTCTTCATGGCTGCATAAAATTCCATTGTGTATAGATACCACATTTTCTTAATCCATTCGTCAGTGCTGGGGCATCTTGGCTGTTTCCATAACTTGGCTATTGTGAATAGTGCTGCAATAAACATGGTGCAGGTGCCTCTGGAGTAACTGTGTCACAGTTTTGGGTATATCCCCAAGAGTGGTATTGCTGGATCAAATGGTAGATCAATGTAGCTTTTTAAGTAGCCTCCAAATTTTTTTCCAGAGTGGTTGTACTAGTTTACATTCCCACCAACAGTGTAAGAGGGTTCCTTTTTCCCCGCATCCTCGCCAACACCTGTTGTTGGTGGTGTTGCTAATGATGGCT